GCCCCAGCGCGGGCGGACGCAGAGGAAGGGAGGGGCCGAGGCAGGAGGAGAGCCAGGGAGTCTTCAACAGTTTATTAGAAAGAATGTAGACATTAAAAAAATCCCCGCTGCTCTGAACAGAAATTGAGGTTTTTCAGCCCGGTCCGAAGCCGCCCACAGTGCAAACGCGATTTGGTCTCAACAGGCAACAACGCTCGGCCCCGCACAGCCCCCACACCCCGGCCGTGGGGCCGCAGGGTCAGGCGGTGCCAGGGACAGGCTCCAGGCACCGGGTCGGGGCAGGCGAACACCAAAACGAGGAGAATTTTGTTTCCTTTTTGATATAAACGTCAGCAGAACAGCCCTGAAGCCACCACGGAGGCCCTGAGCCGCAGCGCCCACCGCAGGGGCAGGCCCCCGGCAACACCCTTGTTCCAGCCCGTTTTGTTCCCGGTACAAACGTACAATTTCAGGCCACAGGGGGGAGGGGGGGGGGGAAGGAGAAAAAACCCAGAAAGCTCATTTACCCCGTGGTGTAAATTCAGGATTCTCCCATCGTAATTACATCTGCTACGAGGCAAGGAGGCTCCGTAAACTTTATTGCGACTGCTCTGTATCGATTGCCTACACCTCAGTTGGGTTGGTTTTGTGTTTTTGGAAGTCTGGAAAACGGTTCATGCATAACGTTATTGCCTCTCGTGGCTTAAGACCGCCCCGTGCAACGGTACACACCTACCATCAGTGAAGCCATTTAAAATGGACTGAAAATGGGTTAAAGGATGCAGGATCTCCCTTAAGGGCTATCAACTCAGGAATTCTTATCTCAATTATGAAATGTTGTGATGAAGCTCTTTCCCCAAACCCTGAAGACGATGGTTTTCCTTACTCCAGATCTGGCATTTCTAGAGAGAGAGAGAGAGAGAGAAGAGCATTAGTGGGGTTTTTTTGTTCGTTGGTTTGCAAAAAAACTCCCAGGAGCCCCCATTGATCACAGGGGACACAGGCAAGAAGACGCAGCCCTGGCCGTAAGGGCCTGGAGCAGTTTAAAGCCTCTGCCCCCACCCCGGCCCCGCACAAGGTTTGGGCACAGCAGCCACTGGAGCAGAGGTGGCGCCGCAGACCCCGATGCCCCATGCCCCCGCCTGCTGCTTCTAAAGCCAAAGCCTCCGCAGGGCTACAGCTGGCCTGGAAGGTCAGACTGGTATTTCATGCTGGTGTGGAAAGGCTTTCACTGGATTATGTCGTCTCGCACCGCTTGGGCAAGGCGCAGCCGGGGTTTAGCGAGACCGACGGAGGGAACATCTGCTGGGCTGGCGCAAGGCGCTCGCTCAGCCAGGGGGGCTCAGGGGGGCTCGCCCTGCCCCAGTGTGTGGGCACAAACCAGAATGGTGTGTGGGAACGAACCAGAACCCCAACTTACTTTCGTCATCACTGTCTGGCGAGTCCTGGAAAGAAGAAACAACACTGACTGGAGCAGATGGCGCTTGAAGGCGCTTCTCCCTCCACCACCACGACACCCCCACGGGAGCTGCCGTTCCCTCCCTCAGAGGGGGCGTCTGAGGAACTCCAGGTCCCGCCTCGTTCGGCCTCCCTGCCCCGAGCCTGCAGGCCCGCGCTACCCAGCGGGCACTGCGCAGGATGATGGCACCGAGCCGCCCGGGCACCGCATCCACAGCGGCCGTGCGGAGGGAGGAAGGTGACTACCAGGTGACATCATCTGTCCAGACAAGGTCTGGTGCTATTTAGGCTTTTAACAGCGCCAAGAGGGAGTCAAGTTTGACTTCAGCGAGCAGCAATGAACGTGCAGGGCGCTCGCAGCGGTGTCACCTGCGCTAATCAAAGCAAAGCAAGTTCCATTTCAGCCTCAATTTACGCGACTACACAATTAACTTTCATATTCTACAAGTGAACCATTTCAATCCCCACCAGCGCTGAACTGACCCGTACTTACATCATCTGCCCCATCTACTTCTGGCAAGTCTACATCGTCATCTCCGCCCATGTTGTTCATCATCTGTTCCAGAGAGATAATAACCACGTTACGGGGTGAAGCCAACCGCGCCCCCCCACGTGAATGAGGGGAGCGCTGCAAAAACCTAAAAATAGCTAAAAATTGTTATACCCAACAGCCACCACCGGCTTTGACCAGTCAGCTGCACCTATGCAGGAATTATGAGGTGAGCACACAACAAAATCCGAATTAATTGCCCCAAAACCAACCCGTGCCCCGGGTGAGCGCCTACAACGGGACACACGTTCCCTTCGTATCAGCCCGCGGTGCCGGTGAACGCTGGCAACGGCTGCGCCTCGGCGAACCGGCAGAGCCTGCGCCGAGACCAGGGCCAGGAGAGCAGCAGGAGGAGGACGGTGAGGAAGGCTGCCCTCCCCAGGAAGGCTGCTCTGCCTACAGCTGCCAGGCCCTGCTCACCCACGCACGGCCCAGACGGAAACCCAAACCTGCAGGTACTCTCTTCCCGTACCTCAGAAAAGCGATCAAAATTGGACATGTCTTCATCTGAATCGTCTTCCCAGTCTTTCCAGTTGTTGAAGTCCACGCTGAGCCAGTTGAGCTGCACACCAACACAAGAAGTTATTTAAGGACGAGCGAGGAACAAGCTGTTACTGTTAGAAAAGGAAGGTTGATAGAACGGCCACTGCGATCAGCAGCACGGGAACTGACCCATTAACGGCGACAAAATTCAAACACGACCCAAATATTAAACAAAATTAAAAGCCAGGGGAGGCAACAGGCGCCGCTCCCCCAGCCGTGACAGAGCCCAAACCCACCTTTGCCCTCTCTTTCGTTAACCTCGGCCACGCCTGACCAGATTCTCCTTTTCGTAAACAACACAAGATAGATCTGTCTGTTCTTTTATGCTTGGATTCCTGAAGGAAAGAGCAAACAGCTGTTAGGACCATCACCAGGAACTGCCTACACTAGACCCAGATGTCCTGAGCCACCCGCTTATTCTTCGTCCAGAGATGCTGTCCTGAGCCGCGTTCAAGTGCGCTCTTAGGGCCTAGGGAACGACTTGCCCACCAGCCAGGGAGCGGCCCGAAGGACAGACAGCCTTTCTCAGGACAGAGAAAGAGCCCAGTACAAGGAGAGTGCCGAGGATACTTACGTTTGGATCGATATTATTAAAAAGGTCAATTTCATTTAAATGTTTAAAGTTATCACTTCCTCCGAGACAACTGCAAGAGAAAAGAAATGCTTGTGTTTAGCACGGAACATCTCACAGAACAAATATACTTCATTAAGAGAACTTGATGCTTCAAGGAAAACACCATCTCGTCAGCGTTGCCTCTGGGTACCCCCCGCGCCCCTCCGCTCTGCCAAGACCCCAGGCACTTACCTGAAGGTGAGTTTAGATTTCTCAAAATTTACATTAACATCTTTACTGTCTTCAACGCAAAACTCAATAAAGACGTAGTCCCTTCGGTCGTACCACTTCGCAGAAGCAGGCTGCCTGTGAACAGACCATCGCAGAGAAGTTCAAATCAGGTTTCAGTTCTTTCATCAACACTGGAAGAATTTCAAAACTCGCCCTTCCGGTAAACTCGACATCGGCTCTCCCTGTGTTTCTCCCATGCACAACTTGAGCAGTTTCACTTTTTTATCCCACTTACAGAAGTTCAACTAAAAAACTTCTTCCTGCTCTTAAAAGCTGCATTACCAGCTTAGGGTCGGTAATCTTTAAAAGGTGCTTAAGGCTGAAAAAAAGACGCAAAGAATAAAAAGAGACGCAATGCATTCGGTGCGTAACGCCCCCAAAAGGCTTGTGCTGCTGTTCCTTGCAGCAGCTGTCAAAACCAATGAGACCGAAATAAATGTCAGAGCAAATCAGAACGATGACAAACTTCAAGATGAGCTGCTACAGGTGGCGGCAAAACTTCAGTCACCTCAAACAGCTACCAGGCAGACCTTGTTATGTTTCTTGTCACCCAAAGAGCTAAAGCCCCAAAGCACAACCACCAAAACCCCACTTTTTTGGGCACCGATACTGTTAAAGACCAGCCTGTTTGATGAATCTGCTGAGGAGGAGCCAGCTGCAGTCAGTGCAGGTACGAGAGCCAGAGAGTCGCTGCTCTGAATTCTTGCTGCAGCCCTTCTACGCACGGAGACTCCCACCCCCGCGCCCATGGGCGCCCTTCCCGGCTTCCCGCGC